TCTGGCCATGCTCAGCCACATTTATCCCCAGTCTCCGAAGAGCATGGATTGAGAGGAGCTTTTTGGCCCTTTTCCTCTGAGAAAGAACCACTAATTTCTTCAGTTTGAGCACATTATTATTATTTTTTTTTTTTAACAAAAGAGCATGATACAGCTCTGTACACCAGTTGGAAGCAACATGATTTGTGTCATGAATACTAATATGCATTTGACAGTATCCTATAAATTCAACATGTTTTGAAGAGCATTAACAGGAGTTGTAGGAGCCATACTTAAATTCTTCCCCCCCCGCCTTTTTTTTTTTTTTTTTTTTTTTCTTCAATTAAAAGAAAAGGAAGCTAGTGAGAGTCTGTATTTGTATCCAAAACAAATATGGCTTGGGTCACGGCAAGACTTCTGCATGTCATGCTAAACCTGAGTCTTCAACACATTCATTGATTTTTGTATCCATGAATCACCCTAAAGCTATAGGCAACAAAAGCTGAAGCTATGTAGATGTGATTTCTAGTTCATTTGTTGTTCATTAGAAAGATTTTCTCTCTCTTATTTGCAGCACCCCTGCTGCTGCGTGTTCATTAGGAGAATGGAATGTATTCCAAATATTTCCTAGCTCTGGCAGGGCAGATGGTAGAAAGTAATTTTCCAAACTCTTCTGGAAGAGGGGGGAAAAAACACACCCAAATAACCCCAAGTCACCCTCTGCACACTAGAAGAATTAGGTATTTCTGAGTGCAGACGTGCCGTACACTTTCTGTCTCTCTGGTTGTACAGTGCTGTGTGTGTCGGAGTGGTGGGAAGTGTGTATGAATGGGAATGTATCACATTACATGTGGGATGTTAGCAAGGCTGGGATTTTTTTTTCACAGGAAACTGCATTTGCAAAGAGCACACAGCAACATGCAGTACCCTAGAAGATGTGTGTGAAGGAGTGAGCAAGATTCATTTCCCTAAATCTTCTGGGCAACCCAATGCCTAAGGGAATCCCAGGGAGGGAGGACAGAGCCTGGGCCATGGTCCAGTTTCTCCGTCCAGCCCTGTGCAGAGGCATGAGGCAAACTGGAAGCTCTTTCAGATGCCCCAGACTCATCCCCTGCCCTTCACCAGTGTGGGCAGAAGGATGTCCAAGTGCTCAGACAATGGTGGAGGAAGCGGCTCTGGCTGAGTTTCCCTTCTGCTCCCTGGGGAGTCGGGGGAGCACACAAGCCAGGGCCAGATTTAGCTCTTGGATCCACATGAAACACCTCTGTGCCGACTGCTCCCTTCCTTCGTGCTCAGCCTCTTGTCACGGGAGTGGAAGTCGCACACACACAAGGGGAACAGAAAAGCCGAGTCAATATGCAGCAGGCAGAGCTGGGAACACAATGAGGGTGAAACAAAGAGCAGGGCTGTATTTACTGCCTTCCCGGTGGCATTCAGTTCTCGTGCTTGGAGCCAGTTTCCTCTTTTCATGAGCCTCTTGACCTGCAGATCCCTCTCCTCGGCAGACAGACCCCAAAGCCCCACGGCTGGATCTTTATGCCTCTTCAGATCAAACCAGCAAAACACTTTGAACACAGAGCCTGAACTGTGTGTTTGCATCGAGGCTTTAAGCTCCTTGGCGCTGGCACCCGGGGTTCCTATTTGTTTTCCAACTCTTGAGGACAGCAGTGGTGCTCTCTAAGTCAATACAAACAAACCAAGAGAGGCTTGAGGCAGCATGGCAGAGCTTACCCGAGTGCTGTCATCCCCAGCACTGTGCTGTGCTGTGGCATGGGGAAGGTGCCTCTGGAACTGATTTGGGCTGTTACCTCAGGCCAGAACCCCCAGAATATCACACACAGAAACCTGGAAGAACAAGGAACTTCCTCAAAACAAGGGCATCAATTGCCCCATCTGTGCCACTGAGACACCCAGCTTTGGGGCGAGGCACTTTCACAGCTGCTGCAAAACCCCCTCAGATTTTCAAAGCCTGCTGTAAGTGATGGATTTTCAAGCCCCTGTTTCTCCAGGCACACTCGCCTTGCAGAGTGTGTGGGTGCAGGTGGAGGTGTTGGGGCCTCTCACTGGATTCATTTCCACAGCTAGGCCTTCAGATGCAGACGTACGAACAAGCGGTTCACAGGCAGATGTTTGAAAGGGCAACAAAAAAGCATGCCCCTGCCGAGCACAAGGCAGAAGAGGCCTCTGAGCCTGCGTTCAGCTTTCAGGCAACTCTATCCCGTGGCATCCAACCTTTCTGCCGGCTCAGTTAAACATTAGTACAGGAGTGCATGTTGTGCGACAGCTCTGTGGAAGTGAGGCTGTGAAATGGATGCCTTCTGTGGCCACTGTGACCTTAAAACCCATTGCTTGGTCACCCAGCAGACAAAATCGGGAGAATTCCTTCCGAGCAGCCGAGTGCTGATGCCCTTTGGGAGCTGGCTTTTCCTCTTTGGCTAGCTGGAGCTTCCGCCAGCCAGGACTGTCTCACCTCACTGTGTCAGCTGAGATTCAGGAATTTGTCTAAGCTACACCTAATAACTAAACCTGTATTTTTCACAGCATGATGGAGGTTTAAAACTCCTCTCCGACAGCTATGGCCAGTAGCCTTCAGACATGAGCAGTGGCTACAATCTATTCATCAAGACTCCTGTTTATTTGTTTTTGCTCAATTGTTCCAATGTATTTGATTCCCAATTATTATGCTCTAGAGTCAAGCTTCCTTTAGGTAATTTACAGTGTAGCCTACATATGTGTAAAAAAATTATCACAATCATGTTTTTAATTAAAATGCATACAATAATACCGAAAGGAGAGAGGGGGAGGAAGGGAGGGAACCCAGATTAAGTTTTTAATTGTTTTAATAGTGAGATTTGTTTCAGTGAGAACAGGGCATATTGGTTTCCTTGGAAACACTGGAGATGTATTAGCTGTATAAAATCTAGCATAAAAGATTTGCAAAAGTGAAGCCTTTGGGTTTTAACTGATATTATAACTCTCTTCGTTTGGAAAATCAGATTCACACGTGGACCCTGGAGTCCCAAAAAGGTGTCTTTTTTGTGTTTTCTCTTAAACCTTATAATTAATAGTTTCACAGATTATCAGAATCATTAGAAATCTAAAACTGCAATAACAACAAAAAAAGCCCTTCAACAATTCAATATCCCTGATTCATACGATTTAATTAGATGTGCCTGTAACTTCTCTTTGTGCCAAGCAATACAAGGCTCAGGCAAGGCTCCACGTGATTTAAGGAAGAAGTACAAAAATTTGGTTTTTTATATGTTCCAAAAAATCTAGAGATTATTGATAATGGAGCAGTAGGTGATGTTTTATATACATCCCACACTCAGATATTTTATTGTACACAACACTGATACCTGGATATACAATATACAACGGACTCTGGCCAGCCTCAAGTTCAGAGAGCTGCTGTAGCTGCTGCTAACTATCTGGCCTCACACAAAGTCTTCAATGCCTCTATTTTTCCTGGCGTATGTCTTAGGAAACAGAGTATCTCCAGAGAGCCTCATCCCCAGAGACAGCATATTGGGTTTGGGGCTACAACACCCCAAGGCACCACAGGAGGTCAAATGTACATTTTAAGGTTGTTCTCATCTGAAGTTAAAACATTTTCTTTTCATTCTCTTTGAAAATCAGGCTCTCAAATTATTGAATTTGTCTCTTTCATATTAGAAAATAAAGCCTTGCGAGGGAGGATTCAGCTCTCTGCAGTCGAGTGGGATTGAAACAACTGATTTTAATATCTGTGATTCACCTCTGAGCCCAAACTGTGATGATATAGTGCATCTGGGGATCAAATACTGCAGACACTCTCTCTCTTAAACAAAAGGGGGGAAAAAAAGACTGCAGATAAAAGTACCAGATGTAGGATTTTGGACTATCAGAGAAGAGAATAGAAGGCTTGGTTTTAGCATGTAAGACTAATCACTCAGTTGAAATCATTTCAGCAGCTGAGTAAATAGAGTTACGGAAAAGGCATTTATGGGAGCATTTGTGTTCCGGGATCCTCCCTCTTCCCTACTCCTCCTGTTTGTTTTTCTGTCTCTTTGGTGTTGAAGCTTCCCAGTTAACAGGTTTATTAGGTAGCAATGATGATGTCAAATGTGCAGCTAGGCAATCCACGCGGCCCCTCGCCTGCGTCGCAGCCGCGTGGTCTGAGCAATTGGAGCACAAGTTCAACAGCCTGCCCACAGCCACTCCAGCCCACGCTCAGCCTACACCACGCACCCACATGTATCTCGTCGGCTCGTCTTGCTGCTCGGATGTATCTCCCCTCAGCAGCACCCGGCGAGCAGCCCGGGCCCTGCGAAGGGACCGTGTGAGTCCCACCCACGGTGGCTCTGCCCCACTCGCGGCAGGGCGGAGCGCGGCTCCCTAGTCCCGGGGGGGGGGGGGCGATGCTGCGTGGTAGTGCTTACTGGGTGCTACGGCCGTGTAAGACGGACTCGTTAACCTGTGCAGAAAGCGTTGGAAACGCCGTGGGTGCGATGACACGCACCCCACGCACACAGCGCATTTGTCTTGCGCCCTTCCCCCCTTTTCCCCCCAGCACGGGCGCCGCAGACACCCCAGCTCCGCAGGTCGTGACAGCCCTCGTCACCCCCACGCTGCCCCCAGGCCCGGGCACCCCGCGCAGGGTCCGCGGGACCCCTCGGTGGGTGCACGGCGCGGGCGCGCGCCGCCCCCGGCTTTGGCTCTTTAAGGCGGCGGCGCGGGAAGGCGCGAGCTGCGCCTTTGTCACGGCCCCGGGTCACCGCGCGGTCACGGCCCCGCCCCACGTGGAGTTAGAGCCCACATGGCCGGGCGCGCCCCACCCCCATCCGCTGATTGGCTGCATTGCCCCTGGAGGCCGGGTCTCCCGCTTCTGATTGGCTGAGAGCGCGCGTCATTGACATGCAGGGGGGCGGGGGAACGCCTGTCCGTGACACCAGGCGCCGTCTGGGGCCGCCCCCGCGGCGTCTGGGGGATATTTAAAGGGGCAGAGCCCGGGCAGGCGCGCAGCGTGGGGCAGTCGCGTGGGTGGGTGTGGGCTCGGGCTGGCAGGCGTGCGTTCCAGGACGCTGAGTTCCGCCTGGTTTGCGATGAGACCCCCCGCGGAAGCGTTGAGGGGGAGAGCTGGGACAGCTGCGTGGGAGCGGGTCCCTCAATGAATCCCTCGTGGGCACGCCACACCCCCCCGAGGGCACGTGGGCGACGACTCACCCCGTGCCGAACGCTGCGTGGCGTAGGTAGGCAAGAGCACTTGCAGAGCCTCCATCTTGAGCTCCGCTGTAGCTTTTCCCGGTAGCAGGCCCGTGGGGCGACCCCAGAGGCAGTAACAGGGCCGGGCCAGGCTGGGGGGCTGCTGGGGGGCGCGGGGCAGGGCTGGCCGAGCGGTCCTGGGGGTCCCCCGGCAGGGCCAGGCTGCTGCAGAGCTCCGGCCTGTTTGCCCGTGCCAAGGCGGGAAAATCCAGAACAGAGCCCAGGTGTCCAATCGCACCTTTCACACAAGAACCGAGAGAAACTAAACAGAGCAATTGGGTTTTGGCAAATATGAGTATGTTCACGTGTGGGTATGTCTCTAACCATGTATGTGTATATGGCATCATGTAACGACAATTCAATCCACGGACTGTGCAGCTGCTCCAAGCGGCTCCACAGAAGGAGCTGGGCAGCAAAGCCGCTACCAGTGGTTCCAAGCTGCCTGTCAGAACTACTCAAGTGCTTCCTCGGATGAGCTCGAAGTCTTCAGTATGTCACCTCTCAGTTGGGGAGTTCAGGGTCACCTCTCTTTGCTTTCCAAAGCACCATTCCTCTCCAAAATGCCTGATTTTCCATCAAGAAAAGTTAGGGATTATTTTATGTTTGTGCATTTAAAACGCCTTCTTTAGAGCTGTTTTATTTTACATATGCCATCCTGGTTTTCCTAGCACAAGAAAATGAAATGTTTTCAGCTGGGGAGCTGTGAATTCAGAGGGTGATTATTTTTTGTTAGTGAAGTGATAAATTTCCTACCAGTGCCTCCAATAAAATGTAAAGGTAGGGTGGAGTCTTTCCAGTGATGTCAGCCAGAGTTATATCAGGCCCCAAATGAGACAGAATGGGTTGGAATAACATTCTGGTGGCTTCAGTAAAAATTTTCATTACCAACAAATACTCATTGACTTTTTAGCTCTCCTGATTGGGAACAAAACCTCCTAAATGGGACCCAACCCAGCACTGTGCAGAGATGGAAAAAAGCGCTTGGGAGGTGGCTGTGGAGTCGGGTGGGTGACAGCAGCTCCTGCCCCAGAGCCATCGTCATCTGTCAGCCCCGGGCTACGGCCGAGGAAGGAGGGTCCCAGCAGAGAAGGGAGGGAGCAAGGGCAGGGGAGGGTATTTCAGTGCTTTTTGGGTGGAATATTGTTTGAGGTAGGTTATTAACACTCGGGGAAATGGGATGAAGTCTCTGAAGGAAAATGCTTCTGCTGTTCCAGACAAGGATACGAGGGCTTATCTACCAAAGACATAACTCACAGTATCTCATACACTTCAAATGGCACCTGAGCTGCAGCTGTACTGACTCTCAAAGGCAAACAAGCCCTTCGCTAAAACTGGTGAGCATCCGTGTCCTTGCCTGGCATTGTTCTCTGTTGCAGGAAAGATCTTGTTCTAATTGTCAGGGAGAAAACTCAAGTTTCTGGTATCAAACAGTTAAAAAAAAACAAAATTAAGAGGTTAGCCACCAGAAAGTAGAAACCATGTCTGGAATTGTTAGAAATAAGGCTTGCTTGAAAATAAATATAGAATTATTCACCATGGTAACTATTGCCCTGTTACGTTAGTGCGTATCGATTTAACATTAATCCAAAGACTAATGCTGCGAAATATTTGGTCTCTTTAATGGACAACTGTTTAGTTAACAAAGCTTTGGGGAGTTGTAGAGTTTTTTGTTTTGTTTTTCCTTAGATAGCCTCAACCACTTTTGGAAGAAAATAATTTGACTCTTAGGGTTACTTATTTCTCACATGGATCTCTCTTTCCAATTATATTTTATTAATTTACCCTTAGTGCTGCACTAGAATGATTCTGCAGGGTCACTCAAATCTTTAACACTGAAGTGTTGCAGTGAGGAATAAAAGGAAAGATTTAAATGTGACTGCACGGGCAAATGCCTGACTTCTGGTCTGGCAATGAGTGAAATTATATCATAGTCCAAAACTATCATATAGAGCAGACTGATGTGTCCATGTTGTTCAGTTTGTCCAAGGACCTCAGATATTTCTGAGGCTCCTGTGTGTCCCTTCCCATGGCTGAAGAGCCTAAGGCCTGGCGAGCAGCTGGCTCACCCTGAAATTTTGTGGCAAAACTGGGAAGCGAAGGGAGATCTTGAAGTGCCAGAGTCATCAGAGGTGTCTCTAGGGAGAACATTAAAAAAAAAAAAAAAAAAAACCAGAAAAAAAGCTAATGAGTGACAGAATACAGGAGCCAAAATCAACAAAAGTGTATTCTGAAAGTATCCCACCAGCCAAGCAGTTCTTGCTGCTGGTACAGAAGAAACTCTGACCAACGGCAGTGGGATGGAGGGTGGATAGTGTTACTACAAAGAGCAGGGTGAAGCATTTAAGTTAGCTGATGTACTTTTAATTTTTACAAGCCCATCTGGGATGACTTTAATTATTTGTTCTTAAATCATGGTGGAAAAATGCTGATTGTTCTTAAAGCCACATGAGTCGTTCAGATGAAATCACGATGGCGGTAAACAGTGCATTTTTAAACCAGCATCGACTTGCAAACAGTTATTTTTCATTTTTCTTTTATTTTTTTTTTTAAAAGGAAGGTTAGGAAGATGTGTGAACTTGCAGCAGCCTGCATCTGAATCTGGAGCCTTTATCCACCAGAGCTTTGCAAACTTGTAAAAACTCCCCCTAGAACAAGCTGGCTGATTCACAGGCTGAGGGTGGATGCCTTTTCCCCTGCCAGAGCCAGCTCTTTCACAGCTCAGACGCAACTGGGCACCAGGTCCCCCCAGCCTGAGCTCGCTCAGCCACCAGTGCTGGTTGAGGTCTCTGAGATGCCTCCACCAAGGCTCCTTTTGCCACAGCGCCCATCCCCAGCACGTCCTGCCTGCGAACAGGCCTCCAGCCGGGCCCGTGGGTGACGCTGGGCCCGGCTATGAAAGGCAAAGCTGTGCTTCTTGCAGGAGAGAGTGCGGCGGAGGACTCGGTAACCCACCAGTCAAGGAACCGACCTGCCACAGAAGAATAATGCTTAAAGCTGCATTTACTTGCCTAAGACCACTTCAGGATGTACCGCATCTGTGTCCTAAAATACCAGAATTCTGAATCAAACCTGAGCTATGACCACATCCACGCAGCCGGTGGACTTGGGGGGCTCGGCAGCGGTGGCAGGGCTGGTGCTGGCAGGCTGCTGCTGGCTGGTATCTCGCACAACACGAGGTTCTCCAGGACTTATTTATGGCAGTATTTGAAGTGCAAAGGAGTGTTAGTTGCAAGATGGTGGACTCAGTTTAGCTTACTGACACCTTTGCTGGCCAGTCGAGCAAAGTTGATTGGAAAAGTGTCGCTAATATTCAGCTGCCAAGTGTTCTAAAAAGAAAAAAAACCCTGTATTTCCAACTAAATAATAATAAAAGTGGGTTGATTGATAAAGCTGTCTGAACTGGCATTTATTTTCAGAGTTTTGACCATTGCTTTAACTTTCGAGCTGGCCTTTCTGGGGCTTGTGGGCTCCCACCCCCCTGAGGCCCATGTCCCTGTCACAGGGGTAATGCTGCTTTTTATTTCCACAAAGCTTTTCTAGAAATCTGCCTGGCACAAAAGAAACTAAGACTCTAGGATGAACCTGAAGGAGTTGGCCAAAAGGCAGGTAAAAATTACTACTCCTGAGTTACAGATGAGGTAACTGAGGCTGGGAACAAAATTTAAAAATAGGATTGGAAATGATTTCCAGTTCTAGTGTAGATTTTTTTCAGGTAATCGTCCCTCCTCTCCCAGGCCTGCACACTAACCCCCCCACCTCTGGTGCTATCCCTGGCATCATTCCCTGTGTTCAGGGAACAGTACTTGCACGATAATTCCCGTCTGCTCAGCACTGGGAAGCACAAGCTTCTTAAAAACTCGTTTCTATCCGAGCCACAAGATCCTCTTCCGTGTTTCTTTTGGATTAGTAATTGTTGGGAGTTACCATCTGTCAAGTGGCAAAGAGTAAAAGATTAAACAACCTGGCAATTCCTTGTTCCTCCTCTTCAGGCATTTTCACAGGAGTGGATGGGGCCGCAGGAGCAAAGCTCAGGCACATACTTAACATCAGTTTGTAAGTTGTCACGTAGAAATAAATTCCATTTTTGGGGAGGGAAATAAAGGTTAAACCTTACCAGTGCGTGCCACCGTGCCTGACCTGACTCTTGACACCATCTGTCTTGTGTGATTTCTACAGCTTTGTCCAAGGTTTGGGTAGCCTGTCCCCTTCTCGGGGTGAGCTTCCCAGCAGCATCCCTCGGGAGCGTGGGCCCAGCTCCGGGCTCTTCAGGTACTTCCATAAATCAGAGCTATCAAGAATTAGGGGAAAATATACCTTCTTAGAAGGTAACTGAAGCTGTCCTTATCGCCCAGTAACAGGATTCACCAAGCATTAGAGCAGCTACTTTGCACCACTATAGTTAAGCTCATTTCATCATTTTCATTATAAACCTCTGTTTTCACAGGTTTATTTCCCAGAGGAAAAAAGAAAAAAAAAGAAAAATCAATCTCTCTTGACTAAAACTCAGCACACTGAGCACTCAGAGAGGAGATTGTTTTTTCCTTTTACCTGTCTAAAAAGTGAATGGGGTCACTCCATTTTAAAGCGGGAGGTTTGAAAATGGTAATTTCTCTGTCTGAAGTAGTTCCAGAGCTCCGCAGCAGAAAGCAGCACGGTTGGCCTTAGTGCTGAGGCTCATGGCAGAATTTGCACCAAGCTCAGCCGCGGACAAATCAGCACTTATCGTTTTTTCCCCCCAACATTTTTTCTTTTTTTTTTTTTTTCCCAATCTTTCTTTCAATTGCTGAATTTGGAAACTGTCTGTGACTGCTCCGTGGCTGGGACGCTGTTACTCGGGTGGGCGGCGTGGGCCTGAGCCCGGCTGCCGGGCAGTTTTGCTGCGGGATGCCCAAATCCGGACGCTTTCGGGGCCAATGTGCCAATTCGCCGCCGAGGTCCCACCGCCGCCGGCGGAGGAGGATGGGGGGGCGGGAAGGGGGGGGGGGGGGGGCGGTGGGCGCAGCGAAACACACGCAGCACGGCGATAAGAGAAAAAAAAAAAAAATGGATAAAAAATAAAAAGAAAAAAAATACAAAGAAAAAAATACACCAAAAAAAAAAAAAAAACAACAAGCGCGCGCGCGGCACGGGGAGGGGCGGCGAGACCCGTGGGAAGGGGGGGGGTGTGACCGTTACCTGCCCGCGTGTTTTTTGCTGTTCCGGGGGGGCCGGTGCCGCCCGCCGCGCGCGAGGCCCCGCGGAGCGGCGCGCGGGGCCGCCCGGGTCGCGCGCACCCGGCTCTTCCCCCCCCCCCCCCCCCCCATCTCCCCCCCCCGCGGCGCGGGGGAAAGGGCAGTCCCCGTCTGGCGCTGACGTCACGGAGCCCGCCCGCGGCTGGCGGCGGCGCGCGGCCGCGTCCCCGTGGCCGTGAATGAGCGCGGGGGGCGGGAGCGGAGCGGGGAGCGGGGAGCGGGCGGGCCGCGCTCCCACCGCGCTCCCACCGCGCTCCCACCGCGCTCCCACCGCGCTCCCGCCGCGCCGCGCCCCACAAAAAGTGCGGGGGCTGCCGCGGCCCGGCCCAGCCCAGCCGCTTCCCGGGCCGGAGGGGGCGCGGAGCAGCCGCCGAGCCGCTGCGGGGGGCGCTGCGCCGCGCCGGGTTTTTTATTTCCAATTTTTGATCGCAGCTGCATTTCCCTCCCCCCGCCCCCCCGCGCCGAGGAGGAGCCCCGGCTGTATGTGGTGCTGCCCGGAGAGCGCTCGGCGGCCGTGAAGTTCTTTGTGTCGCCGTCGCCTTCCTTTTTTTTTTTTTTTTTTTCCCCTTTTTTTTTTTTTTTTTTTTTTTTTTTTTTTAAATGTATAACTTAATGGGTCTGAACAGCACGGCCGTAGCTATTCAGCCCAATGTGTCCTGCACATGCAACTGCAAAAGGTCTTTGTTCCAGAGCATGGAGATCAGTAAGTACTTGTCCTGCTGCTGCCGCGGGGCCGGCTCCGTCTTCCCCGGGCGTGGGTGCGAGTGGGTGCGAGGGTGCGGGTGTGCGCGGCGGCTCTGGCGCTCCGTGGGCAGGGAAGTTTCCGCGGGGGCTCCCGGCAGCGCCGGGACCCTTCGCTGCGATGCGCTCTCAGGTTTTTGTGTTTTTTTGTTTTTTTTTTTTTTTTTTTTCCTTTATTTCCCCCCCACCCCCTCCCCCCCATCCCTCCGTGCGAGCTCAGCTCGCTCATCTGTTGCTGCTCTGGGGTGTCCAGTGCGGGTGTGACACGGCGTGACAGTGCGCGGCCGCGGGCGGGCGGGTCGCGGCGGAGCGGCCCCGGGCGCAGCCTCCGCGGGCCGCGGGCGAAGCGCGGCCGCTCCCGCGCTCGCCTCTCCCGGCATCGGCGTGGGTGAAATCCCAGCTCTTCCCCCTCCCGGCTCCATCCCTACTCGCATCTCGCCCTTTCCCCCGCGGATCAGCCCCGGCGATGCTTCGGCTGGTGCAGCCGCCCCTGCCCCGCGGGTCTGCCCCGCGCGTTTCCCTTCTGCGGGGGGGCGATGCTGGGGGCCCCCGACCCTGCTCCAGGGGTCTTCCCTAGCCCCTTCCACTCGGTACCGGGCCGGGGGGAGCCCTGCGGTCCGGACACCCGAGTAGGGCTTATATTTGGGAACCTGTTCCCCCGCCTCCAGCCCCTGGGGGCTTTTTGTTATGAAGGGCTATTTGCCTTTTTTTTTTTTATTAATATTTTTCAACCATCACAAAGTAGCAGCGAGTACAGCGCCTGACCTAAATATCCACTACTTTTCTGTTCTCTCTTTCCCTCTCGGAGATGAAGTGCATGGATGTGAGAGAGAAAGAGTATTCTTGCTGAGGGAAGAGAAATGGGTTGGTTTCTCTGGCAATTGAAAGCGAATGCTGTTTTCTGTAAAGGGAAGGTTTTCAAGGCATCCCAGGCTGGGTGGGTTGTCAGGATTGTACCCCGCTTAACACCTAGTTCTGTGCTGTGAAATCTAAACCCCTACACAGCCTAATGCAAAATGGCCCAAAATGAAAACTTGGGAAAGAGTCTTGATTTTGCATATATTCCTGGCACTGCGATGGGGCAGGCTCGCGCTCGGTGTGTGTAGGGGAAACTCAGCTGAGCTGTGCCTGTTTCTGCTAGCACAGGATTTGCCCTGTTACCTCCAGCAGGGTTGCAGAGCAGTATTTTAGAGCCAGCATCTGTCCCTTGGTATTTTGGATGGCTTTTGTCCAGTGTCATCTGCCTTGGCCTTCTCCAGTTTCATCGTTGTTTAATTCAGGTGTCTTGAGTCCTGGAGAAGGTCTGTAGGCATTTGTATACCAGGTGCTAAAATGTGTTCATTCTGAATTTTAGCATAAACCATACCCTTTGTACTGTATGCACATTTAATCTTGATTTAATCTCATTCGTGTTCAGACAAAACTAAGCTGGATTTGCCTGATTTTATTAACACTACCGGTACTGAATAGACCATTATTCTTTCTTGACTTTAACAGGCTGGGCTAGATGTGCATACCAATAGCGGTGTATAAATAATGAAGATACAGTTCTTTTTTGTGTCAGCCAGTTGGTGAACATAAACTGTGTCCCACAGAATTGCAAGGATGAGAGACTTTACTTTGTGTCTGATCAAGGCTCATGGTTATGATAAAAGTTGTGAATTAAAATGTGTAATATCTTTTGAAGAAAAAGCTTTTCTTCCAGTCTAACTCTTGGCATGAGCTTTTGTTGGAAGAACTCAGGCTTTTAATTCAACTCCGTGACTTTTTAGAAATAGCATATTTTATAATTTTTCCCCTATTTTTCAGCACATGAAAGGCTTGGTAGGAGGCAGGTGCCAGTTACGGATGGGGGTGTGTGTGTGTGTGTGAAAGGCTGGGGACAGTGAGTGCGCTGGAGGACACCTTGGCTGAATTTGGACGGGTGTTGGGGGAGCCTCGTGCCTGATGCCGTATGGCTCCCGGGGTCCTTCGCCGGCTTGTCCCCCTGTGTCAGCCTCTCGACTCTGGGGTCCTGACACTCAGGCACTGCGTTCCCATTAGCTCCCGGGGGCCTTGGATTGAGCTCCCTTAATGCTGCCCTTCCTTACTTTGTTTTCAGATAGGTTTCTTTATCACCAATGTTATTTATTCATTTCCAGTCGATGGCGGGCAGCGTTAGCTCACCTCTGTGCTACAGGAGGGCTTTGGTTGCACTGCGGGGGCTGTTACCTGATCACTTCCTCCGCCTGGGCTCAGTGGAAAGGACAGAGTTGAGCCTACCTGAGATAAATTCATTATACAGCTTTTTTCCCCTCCAGTCGCATGATTTTATTTATCTCATATGACTTTGTGGGAATCTCAGAGCAGCGACCACCAGATGCTATTTAATTTTCTAGCCAAAAGTTACCACGCAGGAATGCTTCAGGAAAGTGACATAACTGTAAACTCTTTTTAATTTAACCCTCTAATTAGGTTAACTGCACAACTGATCCCCCAAAATATTTCTTTGCAGGCTTTATTCCGTATGGCAGGCTGCGGCGCTGCAGTGGAGGAAGCAGCTGGTTTCTGTGTGTGGCGCTCCCAGATTAGGATTATAAAAGGGTTTTTTGGGGGCGGGGGCGCGGAGTCTCGCCCGCCGCCGCCGTGGCTGTAGTGCCAACATGCCGGGTGGCGTGAAGCAGCCAGACATCTGCGGCAGCGGTCTCTAATCGCTTCGGCTGGGTGCAAGAGGTCAGGGGTGATGGTCGTGGCGGGAGAGTCTGTCAATAACTAATTATTTGGCGCAGGGAGCGGAGTGAGGTGCCGTGCCTGCCTCCTCCCCGGCTTCCCCGCTCGCTCGCCCGGGGCGGCTCGGCTCCCGCCACCGGCGGGGTCGGTGCCAACGGCCAGCGCCCACCCAATGTGGCCAACGCGGCAGCCACGGCGCCGGGGGGGGCCTCACACCTGTGCCGGGGCTGCTTCACGCCCCGCAGGGACTTCTCCCAGAGGGTTTGGGTGCCAGGGGTTTGGGGGATCCCGCCTCCGTGGGCACCTGGGCATCCCTGCGAGAGGATGGCTTCAGGCGTGGGGCGTGAGGGCAGGTCTCTCTCTGGGCTGGGTGGCTCTGGAATTTGCTCATGCAGTAACGTTAGCCAAAGCGTTTGGGAGTTCAGGAGGTGGTGTTACACCTCCCCGAGGGGGTGAGGCCATTCCCCTCGGCTGGCAGCAGCGCTCGGACACCGGTGTCAGAGCGGCGCGCTCAGCCGGTGGCGGGCTGGGGCGAGCGAACCGTGAGAGCGGGTTTCTGTCCAAGCGAGGACTTCTAGGTTTTCACATTCTTTGGTTTAATAACAAACCAAATGCAGATGGCTCAACCAGGGATCACGTCTCCTTTCCACTTCAGACTGCTTTTTTGGCAAATACATTTCTTTCCTGACACTCTGTCAACGGCAGTTATGGCTTCTTCCAAGGCAGCGTGGGTAATAACCATATACTTCTTTATTCCCCACTTCAAGTTTTCCTCCAGGAGGTAGAGACATGGAGGGAAGCCAGAGCTGCTACCAGTGTTTCAGCAAGCTAGCGAGTGTTTGCACAGAGTATGTTTGTGCCATCTCAGTTTGACTTCAGCCAAACTGGGGAGTTCCCAATGTCTAACCCTGGCCGTGTGTCCGTGACAAGCACTGCTTTTTGCTGAGCTTTTTGCCGAGATCAGCGTCCCAAGGTATGAGCCGGGAGAAGCAGAGCACGGATGGCTTTTGCTTACGGTGGCCTAAAAACTGTCTGTGTGTGCCCTTGGCCGTCCCCGGGGACCCTGGCACTCTGCAGTCCCAGCTCTGTGGGTCCTACCTCTCATACCCAGGGCAGCAGGGAAAGTCCGAATTCCCTCAGCCTGGAGAGCACAGTGGTCTTCAAATTACGGTTTATTTTGTGCCCTCAGGCAGTGATTTTAATCTTAATGTTTTATAATTGATGTTGAATGGGAGAGTGAAAAAGACAGAGGAGTAAATGGGGGAAAATAGTCAAACTTTGTTTTTTTTTCTCTGGGTGAACACCTGGATTGCGTTGTGCTACACAGCAGAACCAGCACACATGGCACCAGAGGTGATCCTATATAGTTGGAGGTGATCATATATAATACAAAGTGGAGGCAAGACATGGCTAATTCTTCCTTTTCAGTCAGTGTCAGGGTATATTCAGAGGAAGGTGTTTGACACAGTAAGTCCTGTTACCTTCTGCTGTGAAGGCATCCTCTACCCACTGAATAAGCCTTTGGTTTGCCTTCACTTTATTCAGTATATCTTTTCAGATCCAGGTTGTGAGAGGACCGGCACTGAAGGGTGTGTGGGAAACAGC